GTAGTTGGGGTAGTTTAAAGTAAGGAGAGAGAGAGAGAGAGGGGAAAGAGGAAGGATGACTCATGGATGATGAACAGTTTCAACTTCCCGGGAACACTGAAATACCGTCATACAAGTTTCGGTCCGAGGTTTTCTTAACTTGGACCGAAACTTTCACTTTAAAAAAGAAAAAAGAAAAAAAAGGCATGGTAGATAAACATTGCCTTATTTTTAATGGGTCTAGTTTCTTGCAACCTTAAACAATCCAATTAATAAGTATTTTCAAATTTTATTATAATATATAATTTTTTTATAAAAATTTCTTTAAATTATCTTAAAATCTATTTTCATATCTAAATATAACATTTTAAACTCCAAAAATAATTAATATCAAGTATGTCTATAAATATATGAAAATAGATTGGAAAATAATGGTCGTGATGGTCAGTATTTGGAGATTTTTTGGATATTCCTATTTAAACATTTCTTAAGCGAAGATATTGTTAAAGATTGAATGCAATTTGCAAATTATTTTGTAAAATAATCTATTTGATGAAAGAGGGTGAAATACTTATACAATGAGGGTGAAGTGGCTCCCAATTCTTGGACTGTTGCATTGGTAGGTGATAGACTTTTCAGTACAATTACTGGGCTCTTCTTTTCGACTTTTCAGTGCAGTAAGAAACACAGTTTTGTGTCTAAATCAAGCAGATTACAGGGCCATGGGTACTGCACTTGCAGAGTTTAAGCTGGTTTTGCATCTTTCATGTTGAAATTGATGTCTTTTTTAAGGAAATGCAATATTTCCCATCTTTTATATTGAAATTGATGTGTCCTTTCTTTGAGGAAATGCAATATACTTTTCTTGATAATCCAATTTTTCATGCTCTCACAAAACACATATAGATTAAATGTTGCACAAAATCCGATCTTTCATGTTGAAATTGTATATTGATATGTGTCGACACACAACCAACCAACGGAATTGTATTCATTGAATTGGAAGGTAGGGATTTTTGCTATCCCACACGGATCAAAAGCCCATTGCTATATGTATTTATTATTATACTAATCAAAATTGTGTATCTAGAGTCCTATAATGGAGAGTAAAATCCATAAATGTGTTATGTTTCCCCACCTGTGCATATGCCCCATTAACACAATAAAAAATCGGTTGGTTAGATTTTAAAATGAGATGTTGGTTTTCACCATTAGGATTTATTTACCTAGGGTCGTCTCTTGTTAAAGGGGAGAAAAGAAGAGGGAAGAATCTTTAATTCACGGTTAAGGTTTACTAGCTTGGGTCTCTTGTTAAAGGGAAGAAGAGAAAAAAGAATCAAGGAGGATTTGTAGTTACATCAAGGTTAGAGGGAGAAACACGCAACAAGATGAGAGAGTGTGTTAATTATATAGTTATGCATTTCTTGTTGAGGGAGAGAATTGTATAGAGAAAAATAGACTTTAAAATATATTTTTTAAAATATTAGGGTATTATGAAAAATAAAAAATTGATTTTTTAAAAAATAAAAGATATTTTTAGGGGTTATGGGAATGGATCTCCAAGAGAGAAAATCTTTATATTGCTCTAGTTATCTTTCCTGTAGCGATCTTGCTGGGAAAAAAGATCCCGGAGAAAAAAATCTCTATATTACTCTTAAAGTTATAGCAAAGAAGATCTCGAAGAGAAAATCTCTGTATTGCTCTCAAGGTTATCTTTCTTAAGTTATCTTTACTGTAACGGTGTTGATCGCTATATTGCTAGTTATCTTTCCTAGATTATCTTTATTGTAGCGGTGTTGATCGCTAAATTGCTCTCAAGGTTATCTTTCTTAAGATTATCTTTACTGGGTTATCTTTCTTAGATTATCTTTACTGTAGTGGTGTTGATCGTTATATTGCTCTCAAGGTTATCTTTCTTAGATTATCTTTACTATAATGGTGTTGATCGTTATATTGCTCTCAAGGTTATCTTTCCTGGATTATCTTTCCTATAGCGGTAGTGGTGTTTACTGTAGCGGTGTTGATCACTATATTGCTCTCAAGGTTATCTTTTCTAAGTTATCTTTCTTGTAGTTGTAGCGGTAGCAGTATTGATCGTTATATTGCTCTCAAGGTTATCTTTCTCATTTAGTCAATCATGTATACGAGGTTATCTTTCTCATTTAGTCAATCATGTATACGAGGTTATCATTCTCATTTAGTCAATCATATATACGAGGTTATCTTTCTCATTTAGTCAATCATGTATACGAGGTTATCTTTCTCATTTAGTCAATCATGTATACGATCTTGAGTGAGATCTCAATCTTTTGATGTTGATCGCTATATTGCTCTCAAGGTTATCTTTTTTGTAGCGGTAGCGATGTTGATCGCTATATTGCTCTCAAGGTTATCTTTTCCATTTAATCCATCATGTACACGATCTTGGGTGAGATCCCAATCTTTGATAGGTTATATTTCTCATTCGCTATATTATTTTCGTACATGATATTGGGTGAGATCCCAATTTTTCCTAAGTTATCTTTCTAATTCACTATATTGCTCTCAAGATTATCTTTCCTAATTTATCTTTTCCATTTAGTCCATCTTTCCTAGTTTATCTTTTCCATTTAGTCAATCATGTACAAGATCTTTATCTTTCCTAGTTTATTTCTTAGTTTATCTTTTTCATTTAGTCAATCATGTACACGATCTTGGATAAAATCCCAATCTTTCCTAGATTATCTTTTCCATTTTAGTCATTTAGATCTTGGCTAAGATCCCGATTCCAAAAGCTAAGAGTTCATAATAACCCTATTTTTTGTAATTAATTTGAAAAACTGTACTTTTATTGAATAAAATTTTATTTTTATTTGACATCCAAACTGACCTTAAAATGTATACAATTGAATTAGTTTTTACTATACTTAAAATGCATAAATTTTCTACTAGGTTGAGTTAGGTTTTACTATACTTAAAATGTATACTTAAAAATATGTACGTCGAATCTAAGATCAATCTAAAACCAAACCGTAAATGGCTCTCTTGATTAGATTCAATCTAAGATCAAACACTAAATGACTCTCTTCATAAAAAGTCCAATCTAAGATCGAGAATGGCTCCCTTGATTAGATTCAATTCTTGATTAGATTCAATCTAAGATCAATATAAGATCAACCAGTGAATGGCTCTCTTGATAAAAAGTCTTGATAAAAAGTCGAATCTAAGACCGTGAATAGCTCTCTTGAATGGCTCTCTTGATAAAAAATAGAGAGTTAGATGGTAAATGGCTCTCTTGATAAAAAATAGAGAGTTAGATGGCACAGAAATGATATTACTTGAGAAAACATAGAAAAGCTCTCTTGATTAGATTTAATCTAAAATCAAACAGTGAATGGCTCTCTCGATAAAAAATAGAGAGCTAGATGGTAAAGATAGGATAAAACTTGAAAAAACATAGAAAGCTTTCCTTAATTTTTACTATACTTAAAATGTATACATTTTGTACTCACGGTTGAGTTAGTTTTTACTATACTTAAAATATATACTTACTTAAAAATATAAGGTTGAGTTAGTTTTTAAGATAATGAGTGGTTAATATAAAATTTTGCATGACATGGGTTAATTAAAGTTAGTTTTTACTATACTTAAAATGTATATTTAAAAATATACGGTCGAGTTAATTTTTAAGATACTTAAATGAGTGGTTAATATAAAATGTTGCAGGAGATGGGTTCGTTTTCAACTGTGCTTCACAGTTGCACTTGTGCTTCACGGTAAAAAAAGGCCCAAAATTGAAAAAAAAAGGTGCGGGAAGTTGAGGTTTTTTTTCTAAATGGAATAAAATTAAGGTATATTTGTGATAATTTCACAAAAGAAAAACAATTTACCGGACTTAATTAAACTTGGATATAAATTTATAATACTAATAAATCCTTTTTTTTTTTTTAAAGGAAATCAAATCAAATCTCAAATCAAAAATAGAACCCCAGATATTCTTATGACATTAGATAAAAACACTAAATAAGATATTTTATAGATGCAAAATAAAATACAAAAACAATTGAGTTTAACCATCAGATAGGAGCGAAAGACAAATAGTAATCACAGGTAACCAGAAAGGCTATCATATGAACTATGCATTTTTATTCATCATTTGGTTAAACTGACCTTAATTAAATTACAAAAAGGAAATTTGCCAATATACACCTCAAAGATTGATTGGATGTTTCATACTAAATCAAAATAATTGGCTAAATTATTACATAGTTATTCTCACACATGTTCTTTGATAAATTTCCAAATACTGCTATAAAAGAATGCTATTCCTAAAAGTTCAAAACTTTTTCTAAAAATCTAATTAATTGATATTTGCCATGAGCCTCAGAAGGAAGGCAGTAGTATGATTGTAATCACCAAAGATTTCAGACATTTAAAAACTTTTCCTCATCATTGTCTCACAACTTAAATACCAAGAAACAAATGTATTATTTTTCTATTAAAAATATCTTTAGGATTTTTCCTAAAATCAATAAACAAAAACCATATATTAAAACAAAAAAAAATATTATCTAAACATGAACTATTTTTTAAAATTGAAAGAAGTCACCAGAATGAGATTTAGAGAGAGGCCTCATAGAGAAGATTAGTAGTAACATCAATAAGAAATTCAGACATATGCTTGTCATTAAAATTTGTAATCATCGGCCTCCAAATCACATGCAAAAGAAAAATTAATATCAACAAATATTGTTTTAAAGGGAAAACCAAAATAAGTTAAAATAGTAGATAAATATTGGTTGAGAGAGTGAGATTGGTAGAGAGAGAAAATTGAAAAGTGGAGAGAGGACTCAGAATATGGGTAGTGGTATATCAGATTGGTCGGCAAGGCGGATCGCCATTACGACGAACGAGACCTTTCTTTTGGATCATCATCGTCCTCTGGAAAACCCTTTTTAGAGAGAGAAAGAGAGAGAGGTAATGGCCATCATCGCTCTTTCAATTAAAGATGCAGAGGAAGGAGAGGAAAACCCTAAAGAGAAAACAAGAGAGTAGAAGAGGGAAACCCTAAAGGAGAGAGAATCCGCCATTTGAGTGCTTCAGGCCATGGGTTTATATAGATGGGATGACAAGAATTAGGGTTTTCGAGATGACATCTGAACCGTTCATCCAACTCGCAGTTTTTTAGATGAAGATCATCAATTTAAGAAAGTCACATCTGTCCTTTCGTCAAGGGTCAGCATACTGTAATCCTTAGGAGTATATGGATACGCCGACATGAGGCTCATCATCGTCAAATCATGAGATGGACAGCACTGACAATTTTCTTTTTTTTTTCATAGGTTAACTGCCAATATATGTTCCAAAACCGATATTTCATGGCATTAAAACATGAAAATTATAAGCAAAAGGTTATATATCACATCGACAACCATAAGCTTCTTCTTCCCAACTAATTGGATACGCTACACAAATCTTAGTCCAATTATATTCTATTAAAGGTCATATAACATCAACAATGCACCTTACAAATACCGGTCCAATTTATATGAGATGCCTACCTTATACTATACAAATAAAATGCACATTTAAATGTTGTAGGAAAGATGTAGTTTATCTGTCATGAACCTCATAGTGTAAGGGTTAACTCAGTATTCACAAAATAAAATTGGAAAATTGGAATGGTTAATTGGACATAGGCTCAGAAGCGGTTTAATTGGCCTAATCGGTAAACCGGCCGATTCAATCGCTCTAACCAAGCAAGTCCTGGGCAATAAAAAACGTGTTGAAAAAAATACAAAAAAATCTTTTGAAATATGAAAAGCATATAAAGAATGATTAAAACAAAATACATTCAAATGAAGTTGAAAATTAATTAAAAAAATGGATTTTAACAAATCGATTTGTGCCTAGGGGCATTTTTAAATTTTTTTGAAAAAGATAGGAAAGTATGAAAGTGAGTATGAATGGCCATAACAATTTTTAATCTTTAACATAATAGAAAGAATATTAAAAAAAAGGTGCAGTTGGCATACGAATGCATCCGTAGCTGTGGAGGTAAGGTGCACTTTCAAATTTTATCATGGTATACAATTCTGATGTAAAATGTCTCAAAATCTATTTTTATATCTAATTATAAAATTTTAAATTTCAAAAATGGTTAAAATAAAGCAGATCTATAAACAT